CCTGTTCCGAAACCCAGTTTTCGTGCCTGAATCTTAGGGCAGGTCGAAACAAATGAGGGCCTAAAAATAGCCCAGGGCCTAAGAATAGCCCTCCGTTTCAGGCTGGAAAAACTCTGGGTTAAAGACCCAGAAATAGGCTGAAACGGAGTAGGGCCTGCAGGCCCYCGTTTTTCAGTTTTCAGGCTGAAACGACCGGGGGCTGTAGCTCCTAAGTTTTAGGCTTTTAGGCTGAATGTCCGGGACGGGTCCTACAGGGCCCGTGTGGCTACGCAGTATGCCACATCGGACATGTGTACGAAGGTCACGTCAATGCCACATCGATGCCACGTCAGCATCGGACATGTGTACCAAGGCCACGTCAATGCCACGTCAATAATCTGACGTGCGCTGTCTTCTCCACGTCATCCTCTTCAATGTAGATGCCACCACTTGTCGTTGTCGTCCCTGTCACAAGATCGAAAATCTGCTCCTATACCAAATTGCAATGAGCCCAGACGTGATGATACTCGTCAACATTACCAGTCCATATGATTATCGATCTGCTGATGAATGACAAACAATCGCAAATGTGTGTGATGATAGAATGAGGTGAGAATCATACACAGACGAAGGAGGAGAGAGGGAGAATAGACAAAGGAGAGAGAAGAAGACAACAGCCCACTTCTACGTAGGGTTCCTCCTCTTCCTCGCCACCTCATCAATCAATAGACTGAATACGTGGCACATCAATCTGTCTACATCAGCAAATGGAGAGTATCGTCATCAACCAGGTACGTATCCTTGATAACCACAGTCTTGATCCCCTTCCGAAGTGACGAAGAATCAGTACAGCCTCATCAACCTCGCAGCCCGCCACGTCATCAATCATATACAGGTGGCAGCGGCCACGTCAACATCGGCGCGTGTCAGCTGCCACGTCAGCATGCCCTGAAGACCATCGCCAGCCAGCACCATGCCAGCCAGCAGCGCCTTGCCGTCCTCCTTTGCCAGCATAGTGCCAGCGTCAAGCCAATGTCGCAATGTCGCAGCATAGCAACAGCGTCAAAGTCTATGCGTGAAGTCAGCATTCACGCAAGACTGAATGTCCTCCAGCCAGGAAGTCAACTCTTAAATAGCGTGGATGAGGGGTCTGGACCCCGGGTGCTGAAGTCCTGCACCGTCCAGATCTCGATGTGAAGGAGGGCCCAGATTGGCCAGAAACTGTATTCCTCCCGCCCTGAATGCTGTCTGGGTACCTGCACACAACAAGTGAATGTATCCGACCGTAGGCCTGGGCGCGGTACCTTTGACGCTACAGTTGACTTTGACTGTTGAATTTCCTTTGTGCTGCGTTCGGTCACACAGCCTCCTCGACAGACTCAGGCTGGGCATGTCTCGGTCACATAGCCCAGCACAGTCTGTGCTTTACCGGGGGCAACGTTCTGAGCCCCGGTCTGCTGCTGAACAGGGTTACTGCACATGGAATACACGGTAGGTTTTGAGATGCCGGGGGATGTCAATTCTGTAGGACGGTCCCTCTGCATCTCCAATTACTTTGAGAACTTCCCAGGGCCCAAAGTAGACAGGCAGCAATTTCTGTGAAACATCTTCTTCCAAGGAGATTTCATTAGACTTTACCCACACCATGTCACCTACTTGAAAGTTTGCAGGTCTTCGATGTCTGTTTGCCTGGTTAATCATCTGTTCTTGTGCTTTCTTTAGATTCTCCTTAACTTTCTGGATGTTCAATGAGTGTTATCTCGCCTGGGTTCATTGTACTGTTAGTGAGTACGGGCCTATATTTTCCCGAATTCGCAGATATGTCCCTCTCGGATTTTCCCTACAGGCAGGTCTCTCGGTTAACCCTTAGCCAAAAAAAAGCACAAATCTATCCTACCTATAGTACGGCCTCGACGAGAGAGGCTACAGGCAACCCACACCAGCAAGTCATTGCACACAAGGCAATGCAGCAGTGTGGCCGCGATGCCTGGCTAGGCCAGAACGTCCCTGGGCAGGGGCGAGCAGTTTCCTTTGTGGAAAGCGCGCCCTGCTTTGGCCTCCTCTGGGCCTGCTGGGCTGGGGCCCAGCAGCTTCACGTCGGGCCAAAATGTCTGCGCCCACACGCAGGCAGTTGCCTGGGATCGCAGCTTCGAGATGCGCCCAACCACCTCACGCAGCCTGTGACATGTTCCCTGCTTTCTGATAGGCTGAGGGGCGTGCTTCCACGTACAAGCCTCCAAGAAACTGGAAGCTTCCGCAAAGATTGTGATTCTCACGAGCAGGGCTTTTGTAACCAACTGGCGCGCGGCAGCTGTCTGAAGCCCACCATGCAGAAATGGCGTAACCAGGGGCCCATGTTGAATATAGGCCCGCCTTCACTTAGGGCGGGCACGCTACTTGCGTCAGGGGGGGCCTTGGCCATTGGAAGGCCGTGGCCTAGCGTCCACTGTGAGGGCAAAGTCCTCCCACATGTTCTTCCTGATGTGTCTCTTGTTCCTCTGCCATTCGAAGTGGTACTCAATGTCCATTGTTAGCAGCACTCCCTCCCATGCTTCCTGCTCCGTCACCTGCTGTTGCTCAATTGTGTCCTTGCTCATTCTTTTCCAACACCTTTTTGCTGCTGTACATAAGCATTGAAATGTCGTGGAGGGGGGACTTGATATCGAAGGTGTGAAGGCTGCACAGGGATGGAATTTGAGGATGGAATGTGGAGCAGGCTTGTGGCATTCTTTTTTTTTTTTTTTTTTTTTTTTTTTTTTTTTTTTTTTTTTTTTTTTTTTTTTTTTTTTTTTGGCACCATTTCTCGATTTATGCGTGTCATCCTTGCGCAGGGGCCATGCTAATCTTCTCTGTATCCTTCCAATTTTAATGGATGTCCAAAAGGGCTGGCTTGTGGCATTCTTTTGTATCTGGTGTGGTGGGTACTTGACACACGTCTATGAAGACGGCACATTGCTGTAGGTTCCGCTACAGTAACTGGAAAGTTTCCGCTACATAAAGTGGAAACCTGCAAACACTCGCTGCCTGAGTCGTTGAATGGCAACTGTGCATGCTCATTGCTGAGGTTTAATGCAGGTTGTGTGGCTGGATGATGTGCTCAGTGTTTCTCGGCTGTTGGTGTGGCAAAGTGTGCTGTATGTTGATTATTCTGTATGCTCCCATGGCTGATTATGACAAAAATTCCACTGGTGTTGCGTGCAGATATGGTCACTTGCTGGTCATGAGGTCGTTGCTGTTGCGGCTGGGAAACACAGGTCAGCTGTGGCATCGGCCATGGGGGCTGTTTACATGTGGGATGCTTTAGCAGTTGATGCTGTACCCCACCCAGTTCGCATTCCAGGGCTGCATCAGGCTGTAGACCTCTCCATGGGTGAAAGCCACTCCATTGCGATCTGCACTCTCTCCATACCTGCGTACGCTTTAATTGAGCACGTGGAGGGGGAGTTAGGTGATCTTGCGCAAAGGTTGGATGGGCCAGGGGAGGCAGATTCGGAAGGGGATTTCAAGTTCGAGGATGCAACACAGGAAGGGTTGTGTCCAGGGAGGAAAGTACCCATATTTTGCGGTGGTAGAGAACTGCCATCACTGAAGGAGATATGTGAAGAAGTGATTGCGAAGACGATGGTGGAGCCGAAGAATGTCCTGCTTATGCTGGAGCTTGCAGATTCACTCGGTGCTCACAATCTGAAGCACTACTGTGAGGTGTGTGCAGTTGATTTTTTCACTGAAAGTAACCCAAGATTCCAAGTGTAATAAGCAAAAGCTTTCAGTTCTTGCCACAGAGAGGGCTCGGTGCTGTTTGGTGCCTCAATGTGCAACAAGTATGCCACTGACAGGCTTTCTTTTGCATGCTAACCATAACCTCGGTGCATTTGTGCAGTGCGCTTCGAGATACAGAAAATCTGGTGTGATAAAATTCCGCAGAAATTCCAACATCCTAGGGGTTCTCATCCTGGCATGATTGGGTTTGGCACCCTGTGTACCTGCCGGGGTGAGCCTGGGCGGACGAGGACCAGGCAGGGCCCCTGGTAGTCACAGCACAAACTAATAATGTCAATATCTCGTGCAATGTGCGATCTATCCTTTTCCACTTGTGATTTCTGGTCGCTTTTCGGTACTCTGTTAGCTCCAGTCTCCTTGCAATTCTGTATGAAAATCGGTCTCCTGTAAGGCACTTACCTATTTCTGGTGGAACGGAAGCATGACACTGTGCCATGGTGTTGGTGGTTGCGAGCTTCCCACCAGTTGTTCAAGTCTACTACGTGAAGAGAGGTGCAAAGAGCCCGTCCATTATGAGAAGCCTCACAAACGCATGCAAAATGCACTCAAATGGAACAGCTCACTATTCAGAACAAGTCCAGGAACACTCAATCTATTCAGAGAATAAGCAGGGAGTCATCAGAAATTAGACAAAGGTAGAGAAGCAATATAGAGAGAGGGAGGACAGTTCAACCCCTCACCGTGCTTTCTCTTCTCCTCCTCTTCCTCTTCTTCGGCATCATCGTCATCGTCATCCTCCCCTCCACTTGCATCTCGGCCTCTGCGGCAACTTCCTCCTTCTTGAGGTCCAAATCGTCCCTCACCTTGGTTTCTCTCCTCCTCCTCATTCTCGCTCGGCTTGGGCTTCTTGGTCAACTTCTTCAACGGATGCTGAATCGCCGACTCCACCTATTGTAGACCAAGGTGCTGAGCTTGACTGTTTCAAGCTTGTTTCCCGTGCGGGAATGGATGCGCTCGAAGAGGCTCCAATTCCGTTCACAGCTGGAGGAGGAGGACCCCTGGCCAAGCAACTGGATTGCTAGTCTTTGGAGGCGGACAGCTCGCTGCACCATTTCCTCCACCATAGCGCAGGCTGCGTCCCATGTGCTTCTTTGATCGCCTTCTTGAACCTGAACTTCCGACGCCATCAATCCAATTGTCGACCTCCTCATCCACCGCCTTGTACATCGGCCGCTTGCACCAAGAGTATACCCACGTCCAAAACCCGTCTGCAACCTCCAGACCTTGCTCCGGCTTGCTGACTTTGAACTCGGGGTCCAAAAACATTGCTGGAGAATGCAGCAGCGACGTCATGGCGTTCCAACGCCGCATTATGATCGCCTCCAACTCGTCCTTCCCCATTTCCGTGAAGACCTTGTTCTCTCTGAGCTTCTCAACCAAGTTGTCCATGCGGCCATAAATCTTGCTGATTGTGGGGCAATTGCCGTCGACGATCTTCAAGAGATCTGAGCAGGCCCTTCGAGGTCGCCATGACCTTCTCCACGCCAGCCCAAAACATGTTGTCAAGGACGCATTCGGTGGCCACATGGAATAGATGCTGCTGTGTGGGGAGCACAATGCTTTCGTTTCATGCTGCATCAATGAAACAAGAACGAAGAGAAATGTATAGTTGTTGAAGGCTGTTCAACATAATGAAATTTGTGGCAAACCGGGTTGCACCCGGTTTTGCCACACTTCCCCGTCGACTTCGACAACAGCAGGTCCCTCACGCGGGTATGAGCGCATATGATTCGTGAAGAACTTCGCAACTTCCACTGCATGCTTGATTGCAGCATCAACCCATCCGATCTTCGTGAATGCTTCCAACATCAAGTCGATGTTGTGCGTAGTGCAACTGATCGAGAAGATATGATGGAACTCGGCCTCGCTCATGCGTCCTGCAGTTGCGCACACTGCATCATTGTCCATGACAATGCCCACGACTGCATCCTGTCCAACCTCCTCACTTGCCCACTTGAGTATCTCGTAGTAGGATACCGTGCCCTTGTCCCGATTGCTCATGCAAAAACTCCTCCAAAAGATGGAGCCTTTTGGGAACGACACCATCACGGCGATGTGTGGCCTCGCGCGGCGATCTGTCCAACCATCCAGTTGCAGCAAACAACCGGCGGAAGGCCACTGCCGCCACAGTTCCTCCACCCTTGCTATTGCACCCCTTGGTGACCTCCACACAAGTGGTCCTCACCTTCTCGTACTTTGCGTACTTGAAGGACTCGTGGACGTTCATCATGATTTCACCATGTTGTCCCACTCCTCGCTCTTCATCATGTTGAAGGGGATGCAGTGGGCAGTCATCCAATCGCCGATCGAGCATTGTGTCTCCTCGTTCTTCGGCATGATCGTGGCACTGTCCATGATCAAGGACTGCTCCATCCCTGTCCTTGACGCGGATGCCGACGCGGATGCCCCCACGATAGTTCGCGTCGCCACCTTCTGTGCCTCCCCCTTACTTCCCTCACTTCCCTCACTTCCCTCATTTTCTTCGGAGGACACATTAGCATGTGCACCAGCCTCCCCAAGCTATGTAACTGCGGCAATCCTCCCCCGTTCCCTCGCCTGCAGCTCTTTGCTCAGTGTGGGCCTCAACGACCCAAGTTTGCACCTGTTCTCGAGGAAGTGCCCCTTGGCCTTGCTTGCAGTACCAATGGCCATCCTCTCGAAATATTTGCAGCTCCTGGTTCTGTTTCCTTTGTCCACTAGGCCACTGGCCCCAAGTCGTCGTAGTGCTTCTTTACTCTCACAGTTGTGCTTCGGCATCCTACAAACAATCAAACAAAAGAGTTGAATAAACCGATCAATGTCATTCGCGTTGGTTGATTGATTGGTTGATTGATTGATTGATTTGCGAGGAATGAGCCTCGCAGAGCCCTTATCAGACATACGAGTGTTCTGGGTTCTGGCCCCGAGCAAGCCTCGTGCCCGCCCTAAGTGAAAATGGCCCTGAATATCCACGTGAGGCCTGTTCGTGACAATTTTTTCATATGTGGGTACTCAGACAGTTGCAGCATGCCAGTTGGTTACAGAACAATATGAGCTCCAAGCTCTTTCCAAAAGCAAAGGGCTGCGCTGTACAGTTGAGCCCAGGGCTCAGGCGGCGCACTGTGTGAGGCTGGCACATCACAGACTGGTTACGGGCCAATGAGGAAGCAGCATTGTTGTCACACATGTGCCGCAAGCCAATGAGAATGCTGCAAACACTAGGAGGCTGGGTGGCTGCCTGGTTGTGCCTAACCGCACAAGGCCCAGTCCAGTTTTGGAAACTGGGCCTGGGTGCACACACTTGCCCCACAGACGCGTGGCCAGGACCACCAGCAGGGACACACTTTCCATAAAGGGAAGTGCGAACCCCTGGCAGTGGTATTCTGGCCTTGGCAAGCAATGCGGACACGTTGCTGCGCTAGCATCTTCATAGGCCTGTTGGTCAGACGTTGTCGCGCCCCCACCGCTTCCAAGGCCTGGTTCGGTGTACCTTCCCGGGCCGAGTGCAGTGGGTTGGTGGACTGGCAGGCTGTCATGCAGGATTTTGGAAGTATAAAACAAATCATATGAAATAAAGGTGCATTCAGAAACAGCCTTTGTCAGTCTCAATCATTTAGTCGAGTAGTCAGGGTTATCCGTCCTGCCAGTAGTGACACAGCTTAGAGTGAGGCGTTCGGGTTTGTTGCCTGCACCTGACCCTGTATAAAGGTCAAACTCAAGGTCATGGAGTCCCTATTATCCAGGAGTACTTCAAATAGCCTTGAGTGTAACCTTTTTTTTTTTTTTTTTTTTTTTTTTTTTGAACAACACACCCTCTGCAATGCTAGTGGTGTTGGTGAGAGCAGACACCACTAGCACCCGGGGAGAGGCTCCATCTATTGGTGGGGAGCATCACCTGCTGGAAAACGAGCCCAGCGTCCCATTACAGGATGGAACACAAAATGAAAACAGGCTAAAGCAAATGGACCTTGCCAGCATTGATTACTCTGGAAGGTCCAGCATTGATTACTCTTGTGTCCAGAGGATTGACTGCGCAGGTTACTGAGGGAGGGGAGAAAACCTCTTCGCCCCCGTACTGGACGCCAGATACCTAATGCTACAGAACTAGTTCCTCCCTCCCTCTTTGAAAAAGCTGAGTAGAACTGAGTAGAACCGAGAAAAGGAAATCTTCACCCTTTTTTGCTGGAAACCGGGTCCAGCGTCCCTTAACCGACTCTTGTCTAACGAGATATTAAAGGGAGTGACGCCAAAGTACCAGAAACCGGGTCCAGCATCCGGGACCTTTTCCATACAAGTTGTCGTGCCTGTCGCAGGCTTTTCAGGCAGGGAGGGAGCCTCTACACCCCACACCGGGCAGCAGATATTTACTATTACAATCTAGCTCCCCCCCTTTATATTAGAGGTCCTAAGTCGTCTCTTCCGGACCCAAGTCCGGGGAGTCCTGTCCGCAATTGTCCCAGCAACCCAACTTCTCTACCAGTTACTCCCCTCCATACCATTGTGTGCCCACCATAGCCAACCGATGGGGCGGAAAAGGGTCGGGGAAGTCCGAGGGTGGCCGTAGTGGGATCTCCTGGCCCATTGTTGTCCAATCTCTAAAGCAAATCTGATAATCCCTCTTTATCATCTCCCGGTTTTTATCTTGGTTGTCCTCCTTGTTTCCTTGGGTGCAACCTCCTTCCCACTTTATGAAGGCTATTCGGCCTCCTCTCTCGCCTCCCAACCAGTCCCCTGAGAATCGTTGAATCGCTTGTTTTATATCTTTATATGTGTGGAACAGATCTAGCTGATTTTTAACTTTCTGCCATTGTGCCATAATTTCTTGATGAATGTATTGTTTAATCATGTCCGTCATTTCCTCCCCGACTATGCGGACTCCCTCGCAAACATGTATGCACCGTCTTCGCCAAATAGCCCACACGACTGCCCTCCTCCCCATCTTA